AGAGATTCTGGCAGCTGTTCGTGCTGAAGTAACACATCAATTGAATTGAGAATTCCTTTTATTAATTAGAAATGGCCACTCTAACTTTCTAAAGCAGGGTTGAAAGTGTGTTCCCCAAAAAGGGAATCTCTGCAGAGAAATCATCTGAAAAAGTGTTAAATTGTCTCCTGTGCTACCTGGTAATCCAATTAAGGGGTGATAAGAAAAATAGCTCTTGGAAAATTTCAGGGAAGCAGAATAATGTACTTAGTGTTGTACCAGAATCAAAATACCACTTAATCACGGGTATCCATGGATACTGGAGCAACACTTCGATTACCAGATACATCCATTACCCTTAAATACCAGAGCTGGGTGTTTAATGCCCCGAACAATTTGATGCACGACTGCGTGAACTTGCACAGAGAAGTCTCCTGAGGTTTTCCTCTCGCAGGCAGAGCACATCACCCATCAGTGGGTGAACCACGGCAGCCCTGATATTTTTTACGGCTCCTTCTCCCAAGCCCCTGTGTGCTTCCCAGCTCTTACACAACAGATCATTTCCAGCCTATTTCTGTTAACCTGCTCATCCTGTTCTACTCCCGAGACCCAAACTTGTGATCACCATTGCAGATCTTTCCTTCACTTTCCCTCAAGGCTTTGTTCCTAATTGGTAACAACTGTCTGCAGAAATGAAAGAAGACTTCAGGTGCCAATCCAGCACCTCCCTGAGTTTTGGGATGTTCTGAGAGGATGGTTCCCTTCCTTCCTTTTGTGTTAATTCAGCGTTGGTGGTTGATGTGAGATGAAGTGTTGGGCCCTCAGCAGGCTGGCTGTGCTGTGTGTTTGGTTTGTTTGCCAAAAAAAAAAACACAAAAGAACAAGAAATCAGGAGGCACCGTTAATTTTGGTTGAAATGTTAGCATTTCTGTTTTCTCAGTGCTGCCAGTGGCTTGCAGAAGGGGGAATTTTAATGCTTGGAATAGTTTGAAACCATTGGGTCAGTCTGCCAATGTGGCACAAACCCCTGGGAAAACTAGAAGCTAGGAAACAAAATAATTTTCAAGTCGTTATTGGAGGAAGTGGTTGGCCTTGTTGTCTCCTCCCTTCTGTGGATTACTGCGCGTTTTTGAGGCTTACTTGCTGGACAAAGGCACATCTGGAAGGGCTGAACCTGCTGGGTCTGCTCCTGGTGCTCTGTTCCCAGATTTGTGTTATTAGGAAACATTTGCTGGCAGCAAGGAAGGGTGGAAGAGATGCCAATGTTGGACTTCTATACATAGCCCTGAGGAGAAAAGACATTGTTCCAAGAGCAGAGTGGTAGAGAGCTGGCTGCCACGGTCCCTGCTGTGGCTGCTCTTTGTCTGCTTTTTCCTGTGAATTCCTCAAATTCCATCTTTCAAGGAATTAAACATTCCTCCATTTTCCTCTAGCACTCTCATTTTCCCAAAAGGAGTACTCCCACTTCAACAGTACGGAGGAAATCTTAAAGATTTGGTTATAAAAACTTCAAATCCATCAGTTTCAGGAACTTGGACATTTCTGGAGAAAAGATCACTTTTCTCCCCTGGTTCAATTATGCTGCTTTTACATTTTTCCATTGTGAATGGATAAATGGAGGCACCAGCTGCATGGGCTGTATGTGCTGTGTGCTGGGGGAGCAAGACAGGCAAGCATGTTGTCTGCTGAGCACTGTTTCATCTAAGGTTTAGTTCAGATCTTCATGCCTCTCTAGCACCCTTTATCTTAGAGGTGGAGCCTGCGTTGGGATGCAGAATCCCAGTCCCTGCAGCACTGCACACCAGCAGCTGGTGGTGCAGCACAGGGCAGGCTGGGGCACTTGGAGCCTCGTGGCTTCCAGCAGCTGCCACAGCACTCTGTAGCTGGTAACACCGTATGCCTGCTCACCAGTCCTGCAGGAGTCATATTTTGATGTAGAAATCCTTAATTTGCAACTTCCACGCTTCTACTGCTTAATTCCCTCAGAGGTTTTACTTCAGGAACACTGTGAATTAACAGCTGAAATAACTATGCACATGTGTTACCTGTTGTAATAGGAAGCTCCTTGAGCATCCTTTGCTGCCGAGGAGAGAGAAGTGGCACATGTCCCTGCCTGCCACGAGGGCCCCACAGAGGTCAGGGCAGCCTGCAGCCAGCTCAGAGCCTCTGCTGGCAGGAGCTGTGTGAGCTGGCACAGCCTGCAGAGTTGGGGCTGATCGCACACTTGGGACAAGCTTGGAGTTGGGTGTCAGAGCTGCCCAGCATAGGTTTGAGCAAAGCAAATAAAGACAATAATACATCTTGACCCAACTTGGAGCAAGTATTAGTTAATCTGGAATTACGTCTCTTTCCTGGAAGAGATGCTGGCAATTTAAAATCAGGAAATCTATCAACATGTTTGTCTTGTCTCACCCGAGCCTTGTTCCTCTTCCCTCTCACTTTCTGCCTTTTATATTTGCCCATAACAGGCCTTGTGTTGCTTTAGCCCTGTTTGCTCCTGATGTTGCTCTGTAGGTGCCTGGTTAAGGCTGTCTCCTGGTTCTAGTGCAGTTCTCCCCTTTGGGTTCCCATGGCAGCTGAGCTTGTTAAACAGTGCTACTATGCTGTAAAACAGTGTGTTTGGGGTTTGATCACTGACTTGAGCTCAAGGAGTGAAGATTTAGGTTGGATGCCAGGGGAAAGTTCTTCACAGAGAGAGTGGTGAGGTGCTGGGACAGCTGCACAGAGAGGCTGTGGATGCTCCATCCCTGGAGGTGTTCAAGGCCAGGTTAGATGGGGCCCTGGCCCCAGTGTCAGATCTGGAGGTTGGTGGCAGTGGGGTTGGAACTTGGGGTCCCTTTCAACCCAAGCCATTCTATGATCCTGTGATGATTCTGTGACATTTGCCATTTATCCATCATTACCGCTGACCTGTGGCAGGCAGCAGGGAAACTAGGAGCTGACTTTCCCCAGGAAGCATAAACTCTGTGGCATAAAAAAGGCCTAAAATCACCCCTCCCAGTTTCCACATTTTCTCCACCCTAGTTCCACACGCACAAGAATTACATACTTTGTATGTTGTGTTGGAGGCTTTTTTTCCTCACTATTGAGAGTCTGACCACAGCTGTCCCTGTCCAGAAATGCTCAGTTCAGCTGTAATCATTATCGACCATAATCAGATTTTTGGCTCCTCTATCCAGGCAGCAGAGATTGCATGACCCACACAAGAGGTGTAATTATTGTCAGGAGGGGTTGCTGAGCCAGCAGCCTTGCCAACGTTTCAACCCTTCATTTCATGCACCTAAATCATGTAGGTGTCAATTACTTAATATTAGATACTGCGTTTTTATAATAGTTTTATAACCAGAATGTATCACCTGGATACAGGTTTTGGTTTTTACTTTATCCCTCAAATGCAAGGATTCTATAACGAAAGCACAGAACACTGCTCCTCTCTGAGGGGTTCTGCTGTGGTTTCAGCTCTCTGCCCCACTGCTGCTGCTCCTGTATCACTGCTGCCCTGTGTGCAGTGCCATATCTGGGCAAAAGCAACTGCAGGCATTCTTCCATCCTGGCTTTAGAAGTTCCTGTTGGTACGATATTTGAGATCAGCAGATGAGGGGAACCTTGTTCCACGTCTCTCTGCAAGTGCCTCTTGTTGGGAGCTGTGTCTGATCCTGCTGAGAGCTTTCTCTGAATGAAAGTAATGGAGAGCTGTGAGGGATCACCAGGGATCTGCACAGCACTTCAGAAGTGTCGGAGTAGCAGACCCACCCAGCATGCCAAACCCTTGGTCTCAGTGCTGCCAAAGTCTTCCTCTCCTGCTCTGCTGTGTCAAAGTGGGCAGAGGCCTCTGGGAGGGACACCATCATGGGAGCACAGTTGTTTTTGTGTGATAAATCTTGGCCCTTTGTAGCAGCTTGTGATTTTGTGCTTGTTTTCCTATGTGGGCACTCCTCCTCTTGCATGCTGTCCTATAGAACACCCTCTCTATTTCTTCGTTTGACTGTTCTTTCAAATCTGCAACTTAAAGCACACCAGTAAATAGCTCCTTTATCCTGCTGGCTTTTAATTAATTCATCCCTACTTCAGGTTCTTACTGTGCACCTCTAAAACTATTAATTAACACACTGTGCAGTATACTGAGAAAGTTGTTATCTAAGATGCCAGAAAAGATGAAAGAGTTTATTGCTGAGAAACAAAATAATAAAGGCAAAAGTGTGACTTCATCTGCCTCGATCGACAAGCACGATGTCAGGGAAGATGTGATTTTTATTTTTTAATTGTTTTTTTTCCCAACCGAGCATAATAACTGTAATGTGTGAAATGTGTTAAAAAGGAGTGTTCCTTTTGTATGGATGTATTTATTGCTGTTACTGATTGATACTCATTTTTTCACTACTACCTGTGTGTTTACGAGATGTCCAGCTCCACAGATGTGCTGTATCTCAAGGCAGCTCCATCCCATTTGGTGATGGACGTTTCAATGAGTACAGATTTTCATGACCAATCTTCCCTTTGCCAACATTTTGACTCTTCTGTTGTTCCTGTTTCGAATAAGCTGCTTCAGTGGAAGCTTTTTCTCCCAATATCTTTCAGCTCAAAATCAAAAAGGATCCCTGCTCTTCACCAAGATAAAGTGTAATTCCTTGTCAACATCGTTTACATTTCAGCCTGTTGTGTTTATTTTTCTGAGTCAGTCTAAGCTTTTTCATGGTTTGTGCTGGGTTTTGTTGTTTTCATACCCAATTGTCTGGTTTGTTTGTTTATTACTCCATGATGGTGTTTGCACCCACCTGTTCAATGCACGGCCCTGCTCTGGCGTGCATTGTGTGTATGGTCTATGAATGAAGCTGTGTCCCACCTTGACAGCAACAAACTGTACTCACACCTCGGGATGCCAGGAGGGAGGCTTAAGTGCTCTGCAAGGACGTTTGGATCAGGGTGTTTTCCATCCAGGCTGCCCCTCCAGTCTACGTGCATCTCCCACTCCCTTTCCCACGCTCCCTGCTGACTGAGCCCTTCTCTTCTTTCTTCCACAGGTGGGCTCTGCATCGCTCAGTCCCTGAAAATCCCCCAGGATCGCAAGGACAAGACCATCGACTTCGATAAAATCATCAAGCAGCTCTTAGAAACTCCCAATGCCAGGGCCATCGTTATTTTTGCCAACGACGAGGACATAAAGTAAGGATGGCTGAGGGGACTAATTCATTTGTGCTTGGTAGCCGTGCAGATAAAAGAAAGCAAGTAAGAACACAGATAACGAAGAGGGAATGCCTGTTGGTAGGAGCTGTGTGGGGCTGTGGGTTTGCCATTTGCAGGGTCACACTGGGCTCCTGCTGCTGCCTGACTCTTTTGGCACCTTGGATCGTGCTGTGGGGAGGAGGGAGTGATGGGCTGCAAGGGGTGAATCATAGAATGGCTTGGGTTGGAAGGGACTTAAGGATCACGAAGCTCCAATCCCCCGCCACAGGCAGGGCAGCCAACCTCCACATTTAATACCAGCCCAGGCTGCCCAGGGCCCCATCCAGCCCTGGATGAAGGTCTGAAGGTTTTTTCTATTGTAGAATTACTCACGGCAGACCTGACCTTACCTCAGAGACATTAAGAAAATGCTCCTCTCTCTAAGCTCGTACTACAATGAGTAATTCCTTAATTCAGAGTGTATTTTATGACAGGTTATGGTTACTGATAATAAAGTGGCTTGAATGCTCATATCAATTCAGATACCACTTGCCATTAAAATTATTTGCAGAATATTTTAAAAGCATGGCTTATTTCTAACTTAAGAATTTTAAATTATCCCGACGTTTTGATGGCGTTGGGAGGTGCTAAGAGGCTCAGTTCTCCAAAGTGAGACACAAGAAGTTGGGATAAAGTTTCAGTGAAGACAGTGGGATTTTGTTCTTAGGATAGTGGGTGAATTAAAAGGAAGGTTCAATCTTTGCTGCTCAGATCATGGCACGATGTGCTGCGAAATTTCTGGGTTCTGTTGGTTACAGAAATAAACTCATTCTGCAATCACCACGCACCATTTTTTACCAAACTTACCAAATACCAATGTTGAAATGAAACTAACTCGTGAACAAACTGTCCTCTTCCACAGGCAAATCCTGGCAGCTGCCAAGAGGGCTGACCAAGTGGGGCACTTCCTATGGGTGGGCTCAGACACGTGGGGCTCCAAGGTCAGCCCACTGCTGCAGCAGGAGGACGTGGCTGAGGGGGCCATCACCATCCTGCCCAAGCGAGCGACCATCGAGGGTAAGAGCTCTGCCCACCTTCTCTCATATCTTCTTGCCTTGCTCCTTGTTTCCTGAAAACAAGTGGCACAAAATGGATTGCCTGTATTTGTGTCTTGTTTCTTTGGATGGCTGTATCTGGATGTGGTTGTATTGGAAGGGTATAAAATACACTGAGCTGGTCTTTATCCCCTGGAATTTTCCTGAATGTCTGTGTTCCTCATCTGAGAACTGTATGCTATATCTGCAGCTGAAAAGCTACCAGCAGTTATCTGTGTCACCTTCAAGGCAGTAAACCAGAATGATCTTAATGTGTCATGTATGCATGTAGGAAGAGAAAATGCGCTGCAGTTACATACCCTCAGAAACAGCAGATAAACTCCATACTGAGGAAGTAAAAATTCAGGTTCATGCCCAGTTTCCCTTTATTTAGCTTAACTTGTGTTTTATTCAGATCGTATGCTATATGTATTTACATTTTTTGTGTACTCTACCAATATATGTATTCATAGATGTGCGTGCATCTATATAAAGATTGTGAGGAACTTCTATTACAGAATTCCTCCTTTCTCAGCATTTCTCCCTGAAGTCTGTGTCTGATCCATCCTTAATTTGCTGTCCCCTCTGTGGAGATGCTTAACTATCCGATCATTTTCCTCTGGGCAAACCAAGCATGCTGATTAGAGTCCATGTTCTCCTTGACAAAAAAGAAAGTTCTTCATAGACACAGAGTAAAGAGAACGAACTCCTCTGTTGTGCACGGCACGAGAGTCCCTGCAATGTGTTGTGCACACAAAAATGAGCTTCACTCACAGGGAAAGCAAACGTTTGCATTCATTTTTACTGTGTATATGCTACCACCTCGTTAGTTATTCTTCTCAGGTCCCTAATATTAAATTTTTGAACCCTAGAGGCATTTTTACATGTTATTTCTCCATAAATACGTAAAGTTGGTAGAGAATGAAGTGGTTTGTTTCTGAAAAACACAGCATTTTAATAATCTTTCCCTACTGTTTGTATTCATCCCTGAGGGTTTCTGACAGAAAGTCTCGAAGTCTGCCAACAGCACACAGAAAGGAAAACTTTCCAAATGTGTTTGTTTTAAAATATTTTCCTTCTGCGTTACACATTAAACACTTTGGACGTAATGGAGTTTTCTGTTGGAAATAATGAGTTACAATGACAGACTGAAGGGATGCAGGTACAGAAAGTTGGTTAAGTAACAGTTACAAATATCAGCACATGTAGTGCCTTGCATGATGCATGAGCATTGAGCCTGTACACAGCTTATACCCCAGCTAAATTGGGCTTTTGGCTGAAAGCTGGCTCGTTGCATTCTGCACTTGCACAGACTGCACCATTACTGTTTGTGAGGTTTGTGAGGCTTGAATTATGTTTTGCCTATATATATAATTGCATTCATTCTTCCACAGTTTCTGCCATGCAGACAGGTACATATTTTGAGTGTTGTTTTCCAGAAGGGGGAAAGCCATCAGCCAAAGGTTGGTGCCATGCTGGGTGTGAAGGGAGAGGCAGAGCACAATGTCCTAGAGCTGCAGTTCCAATGTCAATAGCAAATGATTCCTGCACGCTCTGTGACCACTAGAAAGGTTCGGGCTGGTTCTTACCTTTCTCAGTTTCGTTCATCCATCCCTAATTACCATCTGTATTTGCCATCTGCTTAGCCCTGTTAGGGGGAAGAGTAAAGGGATGGTTATGAGCGCAGAGCGCGTTTCCCTTCTCCTGTGCAGCCATTCTCATACTGTCCTTCTCCAACATAACCCTGCCTTGCTGAGTGCTCCTCTTGTGTGTGAAGCAGTTTTCCAGAATTCGATGTTTCTCCTTTAAAACCAATTCCATTTCTGTTTCATTCCCCGTGAGAAGCATCCACTGAAGTCAGTTACTGACAGAAGCAAGGATTCCTCAGGTGTTAGCGTTTCTTTGTTCAGTGAGGCTGCTACCCGTATGGATTATCTTTGCTTGCATTCAGGCTGCTGTATGTTGTTTTGTTTTTCTTTCTGTAGTAATTTCATTTGGCATTGAATCCAAGAGAACTGGAAACAGACATTTTAACGTTGTTCTTTTATCATCCAGCAATGAACATCTGCTACTAGAATTTAGTAATGTATTTCTGGGGGAGAATACATAAAATAAATGAAATAAGAAGCCCTGACTTTCCCTATAAATTGATGGAAACAAACTAAATTAGCAGAACGGAACTCAATTTGCCCTAAAGGAGGATATCTTGAGCAGTGCCCAGCCTGGCAGGCTCCTTTCCCTGCAGTGCTGCTGCCGGCAGTGCGGCTCGAGGGCTGCAGGCACCACAAGGCACCAGCTGCCTTCTGCTGGGCTCAGTGAGTGCTTCTCTGGTTGGGATGAGGAAGGGGGTTGTCCTGGTTTTACTTAAGAGCATTTGCCTTCTGTTTCTTACGATTGATCGTTGTGTTAAAGATGATTTGTAGTATGTTAGAAAAGGATTCCTGGCCAAGTTCATTCGAAGCAAACAGCTTCCCCCGTCTAGAAAATATCATATTGATATTAAATAAGTGATGCTGCCAACCTCTTCTCACACTTTAGGAAAAAATGTAAGTCTTATAGGCCAGGAAAAGTTAAATTGCATTGAAAATTAATGTGCCATCGTGTTAAAGCATACATGGGAGCTTTGGATTATCAGATTTTTGACATTTCAAGAGCTGTTGGTCACAAAAGTCGTAAGCTGAAATGGTCAGTTTACAGAAAAATACATTTTTTTACTACCACTCCTCCAGCCATGGTTCTTGGATGCAGAACACAGACGTGAAGCACGTAGTGTCAGGCCCCAGATGTGTGGTTATTTGTCTAGATGCTTGATGTCACCCTTGGGACAGCTTTTTCTTTGCCATAGCCCCATGGGGTAATTTAGGAAATCATTACATGAACTGAATTTGTTCCTCTTAAGTCAGTCTTAATATAGCCCGATTGTGTTTGATGTAATTATGCTGAAGGGATAAAGTTGCATCTTATTTGCATAATTGCAGTAGACAGTGAGCCAGAGGAAGTGCAAACTTAAATAGTAATCACTGCACAGAAACTTGTGTGTTTGAAACAAGCTCCACGGCCAACTTCAACAGAGCTTCAACTTCAAGGCAAACAAGCAGAGCGTGCTTCTGGAACAGCCACTGCAACAGAGCAGTGCGTTGCAGTTACTGGTACTCTGAACTGTTCCCACGAAAAAGGCTTTAATGGTGCGTCCTCTTGCTCATGGGCTGTTAAAGCATCAGCCCAGAAGCTGTGAGCACACTGCACGTAGCAGGGCTTGTGTTGGTGAGTTCCAGTTGCGCCTCGCTCTGAAGGCAGCCCTGTGCCATGGCTGTGCAAAGGCACGGCGTAACCACGGAGCAAATAGCAGTGTTGGGATGTGAGGGAAAAAAACAGTTTAAATGAAAGACAAAGGATAGTTTTTTCATAATTAAAATTTGAACGGGCACGCGTTCTTATAATCATTATTATTACGTTCATTTTACGATAATGTAGAAATGATGAACATCTGTGGCTCTGCGTGCGCGTGACGTTCACAAAAACAAAAGCACAACAACAAAAAAAATCTGCAGAACGTCTGTCTTCTCCAAAATGCATCTGGGGAGGTGTTACCTTCTGCTGCTGAGCTCCTCAGAAAGCCTCTTCTTCATCCTTCCACTCCGTGTGAGCTGTGCGTGCGGGGAGGTTCCCATGTCAGCACAGAGGATGCGGTGCTGCTGGTGCTGGGGAGGAGCGGTGCTGTGAGGAGGAGCAGCTGGGAGCTGCGGAGGAAGAGTTTGGGCCGTTTTGAAGCAGTGATGCCATCAGGATAATGGATAAATGGGAGACGTTGAGGCGAGTATAACAAGCTCCCAAAAGTTCGATCGCTGCAGGGAAAATGGAAGCACAGCGGAAAATGAGAAGAAAGGCTGAGATTTCAAAACAGAAGTGTTTTGTGCTTGCAGTTCCGCTGAGCTGTTTGCCTTCAGACCAGCAAATTGCCGGGTTGGTTTTCCTTTCTTTAGGCAGGGATGGTCTAAGAGAGCGTTGTTCGTTTGTCCTATTTTTCATTCCCCAGAAGCATTGTAGGCTACCCAGAGCAGCCATAAACAAACAGTGCTGATGCTCCCTGCCCCCCCCCCCCCCCCCCCCCCCCCCCCCCCCCATGGCTCACCCCATTTCCAGCAGCAGAGCTCCCAAAGTGATGAACCACAGCCCCACTTCTTTGTAGATTTAAATGAACTTCTTCCACGCTAATCTTTGTTAATCACAAAGTGACCTTTCTGTATTCTGCTGCCACTTTGCTTCTTCATTTTTCAGTAGATTTATTAAATTTTAGAGTATTTTCTTCTCTCATTATTACTGCTTTGCCCAAATCTAATTATCCTTGTTATCTGCCCGGGGTAGCTGTCTTTATTACACCATATATGTGTATATAAGAGATATCAGGATGGCCCTCTGATTAAAGATGATAAGACTTCTGGCCCAGGCATCGATTGAAGTTCTCCCTAGCAGGCAGCTTCCAAGTCAGGAGTTCCTAAATTCTGTCCCCAGAGAAGAAGTACTTCTTTCTGCCAATGATAAGAAAGTGTCTGTGCCATGAGGGAAGGAAAAGCCTCATCATTCTGGAGTAGATTTGTGCAGTATTTGCCAAATGAAATTGGGAAGGCTGTTAGATGCATCTACAGGCAGGTATTTAAGTCAGAGGACTGTGTGATACTGATGATCTCTGGATGCAGAATGATGATCATCTCTCCCCTTTCCCATCTTTTCTTCAAGTCTAAGCAATATCCACGCTTCAGATTTTCAGTCTTTAGTATCCATTAAGATTGAATCTGGCTCATTAGAGCCCTTGAACAGCGTGACAGAGGAGTAGAGAGCACAGAGAACAGGTAGAGCAGGAACATTCAGGATCCTGGTTCGGCATTTGGAACATATTTCTGTGGCTATTTATATGAGGACTGCTCTGAAAGTAATGCCTCCTATATTGTGATGTTGGCCCAGAACATCAGAGGTGGATGTTGG